CTGACCATACGAATTTTTGCTCTACATCAACGTGCACACATGTACACACATATATCATATAATGCGTTACATCTAATTAATGCATAACAATTCAAAAAACAAATCGTCAAATACTTAAAATGAAATATGTTGCTGCGTCATTGAATTCGTCTTTCTGTATTAAGAATATGGTAACAAAAATATATAATGTTTTATAAAATATACAAAGTGATTTCGGATTTTATTTAAAAGAAGAAGACATATTTTTCAAACTTTTTACTTGAAAATTCTTTATTTTATATTAACACACATCTTTTTCAATATTTTTCTATTCAACTGTTAAAAACAACTCAAATATTGTGGCGACAGATTAGTGGACAAGCTTGTGTATATTATAAGTATGAAGAAGTTATGTGTAATAGAAATATACCTAATAAATGAAATAGAAAATATCGAATACAAATTCACATTATCATATTAAATAATTCTATTATTAATAAATACATAGAGTTATAATGTCTCATATATTGTCGTGTTTGAACATCGATACGAGATATTGTAGCTACATACATTTAATAATGTACATACGTACTTACTCTTATGTTGTCTCATATATTGTCGTGTTTGAACATCGATACGAGATATTGTAGCTACATACATTTAATAATATACTTACGTACTTACTCTTATGTATGTGGGATTGGAATAAGCACGGCCCTGGAAGAGTGGCAGGTGTGTCTGGACCCAGAACGAAAGAGACCGCGCGCAAGAGGATCGATTTCAATGAATGTTTAGGTTAGAGGGAAAGATTAGATATGCGTGCAGAGTGTTTGAAGCTACCGCGCCCTCCGAGGTTGCGTAGGAAAGGAGTATGATTGCAAAGGAAAGCCTGGGTATGGAAAAGGACAGAGTGAATGCTTAAATAAGGGTGCCAGGGCGCGGGCAGGACCAGTCCTTCACGGTCCTCGAAATAGTGTTTAGGCAGTAGAAGTCGAGCGTACCCATAGCGGGTTTCCAGTTTCGTAGGCAATAAGTATAAGTTTATTGTATTTTAATAAGCAGTAAAACATACTTTAGCCAATCCATACACCCCGATCCTACATGTATATATACGTATGGTCGACTCGATTGTACCACATTACACACACATCACACGTCGAATTAACACTAACTTTATTTTGGGGTTAAAAAGGATTTTCGTCTCTCACTGCGACGATTTATTTTCTTACTAACTAATCACTTAGTCTTTTGATCCCTGATGATGATCCCTTTTGATGATTTGTTTGAACCCTATGGGTAATTTGAACTTTTCGTTTTGACTCGCAGTTCTATGTTTTTAATAGCTTCTGCCTCCAGATCCATTATACCCTCAGCCTGTTATGTTTCGAGAAGGGGAAAGAATTATTTCACTATAGGATAGACGGTGTTTGGTTAACACTGGACCCCTTACAGAGCTCAATCTGGTCACGGGAGCGGCCAAACGACTGTTTAACTTCTGGAAGCTACATAATTTATAGTGGATTGGTTCGCTATTAAAGTATAAGGAATAGAAAAAAAAGGGAAAAAAATGTAAAAATTCTAAAATCCATGCTGGAAGTGTAACAAGTTGTTTCAAAATTAGTGATTCATTTTAATGAATGTGACTTAATAATTAATAGATCTGAACCTAATAGGGCTTACAAATAGTCGAGTATCTTGCTACTTTTAAAGTTGTAAATACTATAGAATATAGATCTCGTAGATTCTCTACTAAATTTATGAGACTCAATGTCATTCGATTATCATGAAATTTAACTGCGTACACAAAGTACGTTATTTTTATCCTATACATGCGATGAAAGCATAAAATTCGCTGAGCATTTGACGTTGTATCAACGATAATGTTAATTTTCATAACAAACGTTATGAACAAGAACTTCTACTGAAATCTTTTCTTTATTCTATTTCCAAAGAATAATGTAAAATAACCGTCAAAAGCAAAATTAAAATATGGAAAGAGGTAAAAAAAAGGAAATAGAAAGAAACATAGTGAGAAAATAGTTTATGAAAATTAATTGTGAGAAATTAGGTATAAAAATAAAAATATGCATACAAGGAATACACAGTGTAAAAACGTAAAACTAACTGCTACACTGAAATTTAAGCTTCTTAAGGTTCAGGACTATTACAGCGAAAATAAAATAAACAAATTATATTTTTTCTTTATAACTATTCTGCCCAAAAAACCTTGATCTTGCACGTTCGTAAGTTTACTAATTGTGCAAGTAAGCGATGAAAAATCTCGATTTTAGAGAAATTTATTTTAGAGAATATTTTAAAATATTTAAAATATTTTAATAATATATTTCATTACCAGTACGTGTAGTTAAATAGACAAAGAAAGCTTGAATTTTAAACAATTTTTTTTTTAAATCAAAAGGAAAGAGATAATAAGTTATTTAAAGTACTTTTACTACGATACGTACGTGAAGTGCTCCATTTAAGCAAACAACATTGATTTTAATAATTCAGAGGTAAATTGATTATTTAATTTACCTTTTCATTTCCTTGCTAAATTTGTTAACTTTATTGCATTTTTTATTTGAACTTTATTTTATTCGTAATGCAACAATTCTAAATGATTTTTTGTATATAATTATTAATATCGTTTCTAAAATATATTTTTAATGTGCATCACCTAATGCTCGAAATTTTAATTCGGTAATCGTACCTCAAAGACGACTATTCGTGTATAGATCAAAAACAGATTTAAAGTACAGAATATACGTAAACAAAAATCAGTAAAAATTTCATAGTCCTTACCATTTATTTTTTCTCTTGAAAAAAGGGGGGTTGTCGATAGAGAGCTTATTATCTGTTTATTAACTACTGTTATTGTCTACAGCAATACATACTGTGTTAAGAAACTGACTTATGCACTCGTAGTTATTCAATATATAATTGTGTAATGATCATATACATGTGTAAATACATACATATATGCACGTTAATAATGTGTAATAATAAAAATTACAGAAAAACTACCATCATTGTCAATAATTTTATTAGATAGCTCGAAATTATACAAATTTTGTAGTTTTTGTACGTGTTACATATTGGTCAAAATTTGCAAGATATATGCAACAGAATTGGTTTTCAGTTTTATATTTGGAATACAAATTTTTTTTGTGTATTTCTATCAAATGATTTAAAATAGAAATTTACATTAAATTACGTATATTATAAATGTCGAGATATGTAATTCGTCTTCATTGAAAGCTGTGTAAAGATCTTACTAATAACGTAAATCAGTGATAAAATTTTAATAGGATTATTCTATTACGTGATATTGCAAGGGGATTTAACATTAGCGATAATTTCGACGAAAAATACACATATTTGCGAGAGTTAAACTCTTCAACGCAAAAAAATCAATACTGCACAAATATTCGTAGACACGTTCCATCGCAGACTTCATCAAAAATGAATCTATCATTTTCCAATTCGGACACACCCATCACACGTACCTTTTTATCTTTTCAGATATCCTATGAGTTTGCTATTTCAAGATTCAACCTTAACATAGTGTGAATTACATAATATGTTGTTCTTAGAAGGAAGTAAAAAAGTTGAACAAGAAGTACCTATGTGTCATAGAAAACAATGTTTTGTTACAGTAATATTTATTTAATATTATCAACTAATTGTTTAATACTAGTACTACAATATATGAAATCGCGTTATATAACGAGATATTTCATTTTCTTTTTTTTCTTTTTTTTTTTTTTTAAAAACATCTTTTAGTACAAATAAATTTGAATATGACTTTGTGAATTTTTAATAGTTTCATTATTATATTCATAAAAGTATTTTATATATATACACAGTTGGTTACAATTTTCTAACTCAAAAATTCTGATTTTAATTAAAGTAAAAAGAACATGATTTTTTGTCAACGAGAAATGCCATTGACCGAATAAAATCAACAATCCAATTATCAATACTTTCTTCCTAAAAATTATAACGTTTTTTTAAATTTTGCTTTATATTATCATATTAAACGAAAAAGACGTTAACTTTTACTTTCTAAATTTATCTTTCTCACTTTTTAGATGTTTTTACTTTTTTCTTGAAACTTTGAGTTCACATTCTGAAAATATATACACGAGTATGTTATTTAATATCATGGAAATGTTGTAATGCCGATATAATAAGAAGCATAATTAGTTTTGAAATATTTAAGTAAAATATTACTTAATGATTTAATTATCTGCAAATACGTATTAGTCAACGCATTTATCGTTAATTATAGTTACATTAATAATAATTATAAGTAATTAATTTACATAAGAAGAAAATTTAGAAATGAAGCCATAATGTTGCAGAATACTCTGAATATTTATGAGGACAGATGAAATGCATTAATCGTTTTTGCAATATTTTCCATACATTATATGTACACATTTTATGTCTTATGTACATTCTTTTTATTTTACCTGTTTTAAATGCAAATGAAAATGAATGAAATGTTAAACGGATTAAATAAAACAAAATGTATAAAACTGATATTTAGTATGAGTGGACAAATTTTTACATTGACAAAAATTTAAATTGTTTGAAATAGAAATATTCTTTTAAAACAACAGAAGTGTTAATTATTATAAGTGAGAAATAAGGATAAAGCATCATACTTGAATAAAAGAAGAGACTTTCAAGAGGATTTATATCAACTTGTTGTCACAACAAAGTATCTAATAAACTAATTATATTCGCTAATAATTTAATAAGCAGTGACAGATGAAAATTTCACTCTAATAATTTTGTATGCAAATGTGTGTGTGTGCCGGGGGGCGGGGGGCGGGGGGGTTTAATCCTGATTAATAATTCCAATGTTATATCATAAATAGTAGAATATACTGTACATTCATACTAAAATAGTCAATTAGATCGTAGAATTATATTTGATTTGTATTTAATTATACTAAAATTAAATAATTCATTTAATAGATTATATTTAATCGTATTAAACTAATCTGTTTCAGCATTGGTTAGATCTGGCAAAAACAGCGATTAAGCAAGTAAAAGGTTAGTATTTAGTTCTATTGCATACTTGAATAAGTAAGATGATGTCATTTAAGCGTTTTGTTGTTAGAAGAAAATTTAAAACTCAGTTATCCAAAATTTGATACTCAAAAATTGTAGTATTTCAATAAGATACTATAATGTTAGAATCAATTTAAGAAAATTTTTTTGATAGTTTATATAAACAATCCTTTTCAATACTCGCGTATATTTCTAAAAATATCTAACTATAAGCATACACATATAACAAACTTACTAAAATATTAGAAAATAGCTGAATATATTCTTTATACAATTGAAACAGTATCAAGTTTGTTATATTTCGTACATATATAATATTTAATGATAGGTCATTGGAAATATTTGTCAAAATGGTGAATTTAATGCTCGATTTACGTGCGTTAAATATGTAAATACAAATTTCGCTGACAATACATTAATTTGGTTGTAAATTCATTTATACGTGTAAAATCTATAATTCTCCTCTAAAATATTTTGCAATGCCAATATAAATTTATTATCTGTAACAATCTAGGTTCGAAATTTGATCATTATGATTCCTGTAATAACACATTTTATTTACATCCTATTTATAATATTTATGTAAAAATATATTTTGGTTACATAATTAATAATAAATTAATCATTAATTACATTTTGTTACATAATGAAGTGTTATGTTACTTTTATGTTAATTAATGCGTAATTTATATTAATTATTTTTTATAGTATTTTTAAACGATTATTGATTTATATTATATTTTATAACGTCAATTAATATTTAAACAATTATTAATTTTATAAATATTAGTTCTGATATCGGATTATAATAAATTAAATGGAGCAAAATAAAATTCGCTAGGAGAGAAAGCATGTAAATTCGATTGTGTGTAACAATGAACAGCTGTGACCAAGGTTTCGATTCTTGTGTTTCCTTCCTTCTATACTCGATTATCGTGGGTCGATGTCACATCAAACTTTCAAACTCTAGCGACCTACTGTACTATTCTTATAAATCTAAATAAACAGAAGTTGATTTTGAAGGAGAAAATAGAAAATTAAATTAACAATTAAATATATATCTGTCTCTCTCTCTCTCTTCGTAATTTCAATAGTTCCATTTCAATACATGTATAGTATACAGATATGAAACGAAGAAAAATTTACATTGTTTATATATTCAAGTATGTTATCAAAGTTATAAATATAACTTTGTTATATTCATAAGTTATATTATACTTTGTTATAAGTTATGTTATAAATACAACAAAGTTATAAATAAAAGATATATATATGTATATCGATTTTAGAAGTTATTTCGAGTTACTTTATTCGAAGAAATTTTATTAACCGTAATATATTTCTTTGACACATATAAGTAAAGTATGTTGTCTTTATTATGAATATGTTCTAGACATGGAACCGATTCTGTTCAGTTTTCGCGTGAAATTTTATCCACCGGATCCTCTGAGGCTGAAGGAAGAAATAACTAGGTATCAAGTTTACCAGCAGCTTAAGAGGGACCTTCTTCACGGACGACTATATTGCAGTCCAGGTGAAGCAGCGCTGCTGGCGGCGTGTATCGTGCAAAGTGAGTACACGTTTTATTGCATATCAGTTTATTTTTTATTATATCCGACATTTATCATTCGGTATTTTAGAATCACAGAAGTATATCAAGCGAAGGTATTGAAAATTGAGCGATAGTTTTGGATATAAATTAGTGATTAATAAATGACGTTAAACAATTTAGACTATTCAGACTTGCTTTATTTATAACTTATGAAATAGATTTTTATGATACCTGTTACTATATTTTAGTAGTTAATTTAATTTTTAAGTTTAATTATGTGATCACTTCGAAATTCAATTTTATCAATAGTATCTTTGTCTTCTATGTATTTTAATTATAATGTATCGAGTAAGAAATTTGTTTTTTTCGTATATAGTAAATGTAAAAATATTTAGAAATAAATGATGATTTCACGTATTACCGTAGTTGGGTAGTATATGTAGTTATGTTGGATATGTTTGTAGTTTTTATACGATAAACTCGGCTATAGAACTTTATTTAACTTCGTAAAACTTTATTTAACCCTGTTTGACTTGATAAATTTCATTGGGTCAAATTTATATACTTGTACTTTGTACTTTATATTATATTATATATTATTATATTATATTGCGCGCATATATAAAATTCAAATGTGTATTTAAATTTGAAAATTTTTTATTTCGTGTAATTTTCGAATATTTGAAATTTATTTATTTTTTTTTTACTTATTTCCTTATATTTGTAAATTCGTCAACTGAAAGGTCTACAACTATTTTGGGCAAGAGTGCCGTTGTTTGAGACTGTTCTCAACTAGAGCAGCAACGCCATTCTTATTTAAACACGTAGCGCGATCTGTCGGTTATTGAATGGTACTCTAATGTATTCCATCGAATATAAAGAGGTATATGCAGTTACACAATATACAGGTTAGCAACCAACGTGTTGACTTTCAAATATTCCTTTTGGTATTAAAAAACCCAATCAGCTATTCTATTATGTATGTACATATCTATATACAGATATATATTTCCGTTTCTAGATGGTGTCTCATGTCCGGTTTTTGTAATAAACGTTTCATTGCAAATTGAATTCATTCACGCAAATATATAATTTCTTGGAACTTTTATTAGTGTAAGTTCTACTCGTGTATAAAAATTGAAGTTCACCGTAATAAATAACTTCAAAGTGAAAAATTACAAGAAATATGTGTAGGATTTCCTGATAAATTAATCCTATGCAGACCGAGATCTGCGCGTCTAATGAATAACACCCTTTTAATAATGAAACTGGTTTTTTTAATTAAAATATTACACTAAGTTCCTCTCAATTCTAACTCTCAAACACGCACGATCCTCTATTCTCTACGTCTCGACTACACACGATCTGCCGCGCCCACGCCCTTGCACCCTTATTTAAAGTAAAAACTCTCTCTTTTCATACACAGGCTTTCTCTCTCAATCACTCGACCCAATCATAAATATGTCATCCGTTCGCACGCGCTCCAGGTATCGTCCTAAACGCCTAAGTCGAAGCCGATGTCACTGTTTATTATTCCCCAGATAGAGTCCTTCGCTGCTTGCCACCCCACATATGTTAGTCACTTAAAATGGAGAAAAGATCACAGGTGTTACATGATCTTGGAATCGGGAGAGCTTAATCAGTCACTGCGGACAAATTCTGCCAATAGGTTAACGAAGCACACAAGAATCTAATATTTGCATAGTTTTCATGCCTTTAAATCACAGGAGAGATATATTAATTAAGATATTAAATTACTTTAACTTTTCTTTATTTCTCTGATTTGTCATTAACAAACTATCATTTTCTTTTTTTTATTTTTCTTAGCACTTAGACTACTTTCTTAAATGAAAATACCTTTTCAGGTAAAGGCAACTGTTATGGAGGTTTTTAAAGAGTTTATTAATTGCACATCTCCTAAATTTAAAAGGAAAGACATACACAAATGGTGTTATAATCTAAAACTATTTAATCTATTTAAATCTTGATGAATTTCTTTTTAGTTAATAAGTAAAATACGTTTAAACAGTAACTGTTCCGTCCTGGAACAAAGACAGACTTGGAACACCCCGTCACGGGTTTCCAACGACCTAATCCTAAGTGCCAGAATAACAAGAACATTGGAACTTTTTAACGTGTCATATCATTATTGCATATCGTTAGAATAATTCTTGTTCATTGCTTCGCGCGATCACGGGCATGCGATGCAGTGCGAACCTAATTCAACAAAGTTAGGCGATGGCACTTGGGATTCGGCTGACAATGGACCTGCAGGGAGTCACGCGAGTTCGCGTGTGTGGTTAGGTTAGGTTTCGGGAAGCTAAGGGGCCATAAACGGATATTTTCCAGACGCGACCGTTTTCGATAAGGTCACCAGCGTGCGAGTAATCTCCATGCAGGTCACCTTGAGGAAAGGGGTTCCTTCGTCACCATTTTCGCTTCAGGAACGTTTCCTTTTTTTAAGGTGACCGATTCGCGAATCAAGAAAACGTCCTTGATCCAATTTAACCCATTTGCATCGTACGCGCATATATGCGCGGAATTTTTCTGGTCATCATTGTCGAAGCACAGATATGCGCACTAGTCTTTTATGCACAAGAACAGAACTGTGCATAGCCACAGATTGCATGCACGCTGTTTTGTACCAGAGGCCGTGTTTACAGCATAACTCTTATTTTAATACCTTTATTTTCAATAATTCTAAAGACTTCATTATTTTGTATTACGACTGTAAACTATTCATTAAGATAGAGCATTTCACGTCTACAAGCAGAAGAAATATTTGAACAAAATAAACCAAAAATAAAAGCAGCAACACGAGAAATTACACCATGTCCATCATTATCATTAAGATTTACTGGCCAACATTTTCTAATAGCCATTGAAACAAGTTTATCGCGGAAAGCTCGTAAACGTTGTTTAGTTTGTTTATCACAAAAGGAAGAAAAAAGATTCATTTTATCGGTGTGATAACTGCCGTGTGACTATATGTATGGACCATTTCAAGTACTATCATACCGTATGAAACTATTAAATTTAATTTCTCAAATTATTTTCAATGTATAACTTCATCGAACTAAATAAAATTATAAATTCTTTGTGCATGTTACTTTTTTTTTTTTCGTTCCTTTATCATTTTGAAATATTTCTATCTTTATACAAAAAAAATTTGATATGGGCCAATTCTCTACTTTTTCGAAAGATAGAAATGAGTTAACCAATCAGAGTTAGTCCTTTACCGAACTCCGATTTTCCTCAGTTCGATTACTAGGAAAATCGAGGAGTCAATTGTTCTTTCATCTTTTGACTTTAACGTTCAAGTCAGTATTTAGTCGTTCTTCCGTCTTTCAACTCAAACGTTGACTGATTGTCTAGCGTTTGACTACCTTTAAATTTTTCGTGAAACGTGCTACCGTCTGTGTGCGATTCGGTTATCGTCTAGCGCTCTACACATCTTAGCCTTTATTCTTGCTCGCTATTATTAAACTGATTGCTCAAGATTCGTTTGGCAAGCAACATTGACAAAGCGTAGCGTGGCAGATTTACGACCGGCCAGAATTCACCAAAGAATTCAAACGCGACGCGACAGTAACAGATTATCCATTTATTTATTATTAATTTAGTAAATTTAATTATTTGAGAAATAATTAAGATTTCAAACTTAGCCAAATATAGCCGAATAGTGCTTTATACGTTGGCATTATTTTTCAATGTCTATTTTCGCCGTTTAAATACTAGGACTATATATTTTTGTCAAACGTTACATTTATATAACTTGCTTATTTCTAATATAAATATACAAAATCCCATAACAAAGTCTAAATGTAAATGTATAAATTAAGTATTTGAAGCGAGAGTATTTAATCCCTAAGTTAGCCGCTGCCCTATGAAAGTAAAAAATATAACATTGTCCAAAAATTATTTATTTATCTGTACATATGTTGTTTGTAAATAAATCGCAGTTCAAGTAATTAAACGAAATAAACATGTGAAGTTGTATTTTAAGGAAGTAACGGTTTTTCTGTTGATCGCGGCATTCAAGACACCATAAGTGAAAAATCTCAGGAAAAAGATACATATCTAAAACGCGAACACTCCGGATGCACGATGAGATCTAACAGAGGTACAGGCAAACTAGTTCCAACTTGTAAAGAAAGGTTGGTATATCGTAGAAGTGATCAATGGACGTGAGGAAAATGGATGAGAAAGCGTTTTAATATACTTTCACTAAACAGTACAAAGTACCATATCATCTATCCTATTTGGATACCTTAAAATCAATCATGCATTTATAAATCTCACATTCGAATCAATCGTTATTTTGTTCTGAATAAAAGAGCTGAGATAAAATAAATTAAATTCCATTTTTATTCCATTAAAGATGTTGATTTAAATTTGAATTTTCAATTATAGTCAAACCTCTTGTAACACGATTAATTCATTCTACGTTGTATCAAAGCCATGGTAAATGAAATTTTAAATTAATAAAAGTCAAGAAAATGCGTTCTGTGTTACATCGAAACTGTGTTCTCAGAAAACTGTACTATGTGAAAAAAGTCTTGAACGAAACTTAGAAATATTATAGAGTTCAAGAAATTTATTCTGACTATTTTTAACGATTTTAAGAGTTTACACGCTAAATCAAGAAATAAAATCTAACAAGTCATATTACATATATAGAAACTACGATACTTGATAAGAATATCACGTTAAAGGAGAACTATACTTATATCGAAATTGAGTTATACGAAATTTGACTGTGTATGCTTATGATTTATTTTCACATTCATATTATACGAATTAAGTGATTAATAGGAGCGTTATTTGTAATGCCCATTCATTATGAATTCCACAAACAAAATCAACGTAAAACAACGTAATAAGTTTAATGTAATTTATCATGGTTTATTACATTAAATGGTAAACGTATATGTCTTCTTATACGAATAAAAATGGTTTTTAATTTCAAGCGAATTTAACATATTGGTCTATAAAGTATCAGAAGCATTGAATTCGTA